TATTTCAAAACCCCCTTCCCCTCCCCCTTTTCTGATGAAGGGTCTAGGCCCGAAACGTCAGCCTCTCTGCTCCTATGATGCTGCTTGGCCTGCTGTGTTCATCCAGCCCTGCACCTTGTTGTCATTGAATCCCACAGTCCTGTCTGCTGCTTCTGTTCCTCCTGGCTTATGTGGATGAAATTCCTGATAGCTAACATTACAGGGACCTCTCTTACCTGACGCTGAGTGTTTGCCTCATCCCCCACAGTCCTCTGAGAGGGGCATTTCTTCCTCTGACAGATGCAGCTTGTCTCAATAAAAGTGTTTACCAGATTGTGTTCCCACACTTTCCAGGGCCAACGTTCCCACGAAAGTGTCAGTATCTGAGCTGATGGGGGGCATAGGAGAATAACTTACTGATGCTTCTTCTAAGGCTTCAAAACTCTCATTGTCTGAGGTGGAGGAGATGGCTTCTAGCAGAGCAGACCACTTCCATGCCAAGGTTGACTTTCCACTGGTATCTGCAAGACACAAAGTTGTCAAAGCCGATGGTTAAAAGTGATGGTGTCACTGTGAGAGTCATAGTGGAATAAAGAATGGTTATTATTGAGTCAAAATGTCCCCTGAAGCAGACACTTCCATGAACCTCACTTCCTTAACATTGGTGCCATCTTTCTTAGCAACTAAGGCTGAACAAAAAGGGCTATGCAAACCCTTTTGCTCCATTGCAATGGGAGTTTTGAGCATCACATCGACCTACCACTGGCAATCCATCCCCAATGTTGTTAAATTTCACTTCCATGATACATCATTACTGACCTCATTCACTGGCATCATTAAATCTCTGTTTTATTTCCTTTAATACTTTCCTGCTAGGAATCCTATTCTCTGCCCTCTATATGTGAAAAACTAATTTGAAACTCAGCTGCTCGTGTCTTGTCACCTATTAAATTGCCAGTCACCTACTAACACTGTCTTTATAGACTGACACTGTCTAATCGTACAAAACCTAGTGAGTGGATGGTTGTGGTGGGGATGGAAGTTGGTGAGGTGGTATATTGAATTACACCCAAGCCCTTTCAGAGCATAGTCTTTACCTTTACATATGTCCACCATTCACTCTACCCTGTCTCTGCAGAGTATTTTATCTGTGTTCTTTGCTATATCTAGAATGATGGCTTTCCATTTATTCCCCATCTTTTCCCCTTCTCATGGCAAAACAGCGCCATTTCAATGAACACACAAATTATGATGATTGTAATATAGTTAATTTTTTGTCTGGGTTAGTGTTGTAGGCTGCTGAAAGTAATTACACTGCTCGTTATTCTATTCCAAATCACTCAAGTACACTGTTGCAACATGTCACAATCTGAAATTAATCATCCTAGTTCAGATAAACAGTTTTAAAAATGCTAACAAAGCTGAAGAAGAATTGCAGGTCAGGGACTTCTCATTTATATATGTGGCTATAAAACGTGTAAGTATAACAAGTAAACCTTGAATGATCATTAGATTATTTATATACTTGTATCAAAACCATTTTGAGAATCAATTTTTAAAAATGGCAATGACTGACTAATCAGCAGATACTTACTTGAAGATGAATTTTGTCTTGTTTCCCACCTACTCTAAACTTAGTAACTAAAACTAACAAATTATTTGAATTCACGTCAAATTGGAATTCTTCACACAGCGTACTCAATATCTGAAATAATCTCTTGAGTGGAGGAGTCGAGGTAACAATTCTGGAATCATTCAAGAGGCAGCTAGAGCTTTCCATGGACAGATAAGCCAGATGGAGTGAATAACTTCCCTCCTCTGTACTAATGCTTGTGATCTTAATGAACAAAGTGACTTTTGTAAAAGCATTTCTGAAGCACTATCAGCATGAAACGACACGTTGCATTTACTGTCATGTATACACTAATGCATTAGCACAAAAATTTTAAACCATGTGACTTTACAACGCTTTTAATTAGTCCAGTCGAGGTCAATACAACAGAAGCTGCTGATGTTCTTTTTTGTTAATTATAAGGCCTACAATTTGACCCACTGGTTAAAACAGCAATCTGTCCAGAATTGGGAAAAATCCCCTCCAATGGACTAATTGGTTTCTAACAAAATTGAATGGCAGACTAACTGCACATGGGTAAAAACAAGCCATGTATGAATTATTCTGTGCTAAAGGATATGATTAATTTAGTAGCTTAAACAGAAGGAAAGGGTCAAAGATCAATTAAATTTCACAGGACCTGTGAAGAAATGTTGGCTGACTATAGACAATACACACTAAAAATATCTTGCTAAACGTACAGGAATTTGCCAGTTATAGATGATCCTTGCCAGTAAGTAAGGAAACAATGTTATTAATAGTGGAGGAAGTTCAGAATGACATGGTATAGATTTATTGTAAACACCAATGTTGTAGCTTTCCTCAGTAAAACAAATCCACTGAGCGCATGTTGATAGCTCTTACTCATTAAGATGTTATCTGAATATACTTCAAATAAATATAATACAATATGATCTGGTAATGAGTGAATTAATATGGCATAAAGAGATTCCTGAAAATCAAAGATAACGGCCTGGATCTGCTGAGGAGTAACAAATATCATTGGATATTCACTCCACTTAAAGAATTTCTCTCTGTATTTGTTTTGGGGTCTTCTGGGGCTGACTTTCCAAAAACATGTAGCGCAGTAGATCTTGGAGAACTCAATCCAATGGGAGCAGAGTTATGGTGGGGGTAGGGGGTGCAATGCAAACACAATTTTTGTTTATTGGAACTAATGGCTGTACGGTAAGTGCAAATGTCCAGTTTATTTTGTTTACAAATGGTGGATGAATGAGCAGATGGATAGGATGAGTGGGTAGATGAGTTGGGTTAGTGGGTGATATGTGTAGAAGGGTACGATGCTTAAGTGAATGAGTGGCTAAGTTGGTAGGGTGAGTAGGTGGAATTGTTGGTCAGCGTGAGTAGGTTAGTCAGCAGATAACTGGATCAGATCAGGAGCGGATAGCCAGATCGGGGGCTAGTCACATCTAGTCACGGACCTGTAGGCAGGTGGTGAGAGGTAGACAGATTGGTCTGGGGGTCAGGGAAGGTTTGTCATTTTGGGATAGTTGGCTTATCACGAGGCAGAGGTGGGTTGGGACAAATAGGTAGGTCAGGACGGGAGTGGGCTGGGGCAAGTTAGCATGTTCTGGAGGATAGATGCATCATGGTTGGGTGTAACTGGATGTTTATGGGGTAGTCAGGTAGGGCAAGAAGGTCTCAACTGGAAGGGGTGGTTGGGTTGAATGGGGAGGTAGTTAGGCTTTCAAGGGAGTGCTCTGGTGATTGGGGTGGTCAAGTCACTTAAGCGGGGTAGCTAAAGTTTTTGGGTACAAGGTGGTACTTGGAGATTAAGGTGGTAGTTAGGAATCAGGGTACCTATGGGTTAATGTCAGTGTTTAAGGGTGCCTGTTCTGGAGTTAACCAGAAGTTAGACTAGGTCTAGCAGTTGTTTAACATTTTGTGCATAACTGTTCAGGTAGGTACTTCAGAACTGTTCCAAGTTTCTAACTTAAGTCCGATTCAGAGACATTTTAAAAGGTTCCAGCAACAGAGGGATTTTCCATCAGAATTTGCAACTTTCTTGGCATTTCCCACATACATCAGCACATCAAGACTTCACAGGGTCCTGATATGCATCTTGGGTCAAATGCCCACTTTCCAACTATCCAAAGGTCAGAAGATTTGAACCAAAATTTCTCTTCATAAACATTAAGACCCTTGCTAATAAAACTCCAATATAAGTGACCTCTGATGTTCATTGTAGCATGATCTCTATAAATTTCTGTCAAAGTTGAATCCATGAAGACCCAAAGAGAGAGGTACAACAACCAAAGGAGGACATTAATTTTAACTATATTCACCTTGCCAAGCAGTGATTAGGGATAAATGTTGCAGATTATATCATCACCAAAAGTAAATGGGAGAATAAATGTCAGAACACAGAAAATAATCTGCCTATAATTCTGAGCCAGAGGGCCCAGGTTCAAGTCCCACCAATTCTGGAGGAAAGTAATAACCTCTATGAGCAGGTTGATTAGAAAATATCTTTAATCATGAGCTGGTCTGATTTGAAGTGGAAGAAGAGTAGTGTCCTGAAGTGGTGCCCCACCTCTGGGTGAGCATCACGGACATGGTACACAGCCACATTGCTGGAAATCTTCTATGGCCAGGGAATTGATACCTGCAGAAAAGGAAGAATGAAAGAAGGGGTTGCATTTTTATAGCACCTTTCACTACCCCAAAACATCTCAATGTACTTTGCATCCAATAAAGAACTTTAGAAATGTCATCACTAATGTAGGAAATGTGACAGCCAAGTTGAACAGAGAAAGATGTTACGAACATCAATGGCATATTGACCAGATAATCTGTTTTGCTGGTTAAACAAATTCCCATCAACAAATCATGAAATGTTGCAGCCAACGTAGGGAAGAAAAGGGCAAAGACAAAGAAAATCAAGGTTCAACTGCATTTGGATCAGTTGAGTGACAAGAGGCACAGGATAATTTGTTTACACTTATACAGACTCTGACTTAATGATTAAAGTCACAGCTTATGGTAACTGGAAAATGGAAATAAACAGGCTATCTTCACACTAGTGATGCTTTTTATTGCAAAGAGTAAAATAGCTCCTTCTCATCCATAAATCTGATGGCTTCTGCCCTGAACATTCATGCCCCAAAGTCATTCAGTTATGTGGGAGCCGATTATATTGTTGCTGGCAGACATGAGGCCTTTGTCATTGACAACTGGTCAGCATTTCACAGACCAATCAGGTACTTACTATTGACCAAACCTCCATTCATTCAGAGATACTTGGCTACAGTGCATCTAGAACTAGGCTTTGTCCACTGCTTGAACCAACTGCTGTATAAATGACACTTTCAATGAGTGTTAAGTAACTTGCTTTTAAAAAATGCAATAATCCTTCAACAAATTTCCAACCATTCTTTTTCCCTTTCCAGTCCACAATCAAAACACAGAAAACTAAAAATTTTCTGAAGGAAGGTCCTGATCCGAAACATCAACTTTCCTGCTCCTCTGATGCTACCAGGCCTGTTGTGTCCCTCCAGCTCCACACTGTGTTATCTGTGACTCCAGCATCAGCAGTTCTTACTATCTCAAACTCAAAATATGCCATCTTTACAATAGACTTAGGAGCAAATTACTACAGATGCTGAAATCTGTACTGAAAACAATAAATGTTGGAGATCACAGCAGATCAGGCAGCATCCATGGAGAAAGAGCAAGCTAACGTTTCGAGTCTAGGTGACTCTTTATCACCTCTGAAGTCACGTACACGCAAAACGTTAGCTTGCTCTCTCTCTATGGATGTGGTCTGACCTGTTGTGTTCTCCATCATTTGTTGTTTACAATAAGACATCTGGTCAACAACACACGTAGACTAATGTCGCAGCCAGCTTTTAGTATGGGTCTGGAGAGTAGAACAGACATTGGGCTTCC